GCCCCTGTTGAAAATGATAAGAAAGATGGTTTAATCTAGAATCTATGCATGTAAGGTTTTAAAGCCCCATTCTTCATCCTTTTGGTTTATGAAATCAACACAATAATGTATCTAATTTTCTTCCTTTTTTGATGCCCACCCTGAATTTCGTTCTCTTTTGTGCAATTGTTTTTTCTTTGGTGAAGCTATAATTAATGGACTAGTTTTTTTAATTAATTAATTAAGAATTACTTGTTCTTTATGCTACAGTAGCAATTTAGGCAATTTTGAATTTTGACTTTTGTTTGGCTGCTTTATTATATCTTTCAGTATTATTATGAGTGCGTAGTTTGTGATCGTGGTGGAAATTTGCTGTGTTGTGATAGCTGTCCCCGTACCTATCACATTCATTGTTTAGATCCTCCTCTAAAGGTATGTTAAGTTTATCAAGAATGTTAAGTGTAATGTGTTTATTTTAACCTCTTATTCATTTGTTTCCATAAAATAATGCATTTTATATTTTCTTTATTATCTCAAGCGTATTCCTTCTGGGAAGTGGGAATGCCCAACCTGCTGTCAGAAGAGTCCTTCATTGGAGCCTGTAAACTATCTCGATCCTGTTACAAAACGACCACGGACAAAAATTATCATTCGAAGATCAAAAGCAGAAAATGAATCATCTGAAACTAACAAGGTATCTGAGGCATTTGGAGGCCCCAGTTCTGGGAAGAAGAAGTCCTCAGACAAAGAAAACGCATCGTTGCCTCGTCATGGAGAATTGGTTGAAAAGTTTGACTGTTCCTCCAATGACGAATGTTGCATTAACGAAACAGGTAATCTTGTGCAGGATGGTTCTGTGGAGGGTAGTTCATCACATGCTGGTGTTGATAGGAAGCTGGAGGTCTCTCTTGCTCACATACCTGTTGAGAAGTTAGTTACTCCTGTTAAGGAAATGTCTTCGACAAAGGAAAAAAAATCAACTATGAACGAGGAAGCTTCTGAGATAAAGCCTGAAGCATCTCCAGGAAATGGATCTGTCATTGCAAAGGAAGCTCCCACCCGGATAGCCAGAAAAAGAAAGCGAAAGGTTTATGCCCTCGGTGATCAGAAAAAGTGCAAGAGTGACGAAGGAAAATCTACTACATATTCTTCTGGGAAAGGTGTGTCCAAAGCAAAAGCTGCACGTCCAGGAATTTCTAAATCAAAGGGAAAACGCAAGATAGTTTGCCATGGGGATTGTGTAACTCCATTAAAGCAGGATGTTATTGACACCCAACTAAAAAATGAGGTCTGTATTCCTGCCTTTCACATATTGTGTTCTCTTTTGGTGCTTATTCAAATCGAGATATTTTTCTTTTTGCTCGATGTTATCTAATGTTTAAAAATATAACTTTAATAGCAATACTTTCAATTTTCTTATCGGGAAAAGTATCAATACTTTTAATTTTTAAATCACTTTATAAGTCTGAATACCAGTGTACTTCTTCCTATATTAATTTGTTTTAGACTTCTGGTTATCTGATGAAGTGCTTCAGTTCTCTCCCTAATGTTTGGAAGACATAAAAGAAGAGTTTCAGTCGTTTTTAAATTCTGGTCACATTATGGAGAGTTCTGAGATGCTCTTTAATATTTGGAGGACGAGAAAGAGGAACTTCTGTAATTCTTCTCATTGCAGTCTAGGATGCTTATTTCTACTCAGTAAAGATGTATGGACCATATGGTAACACTTCATGGTCCTGTGCATTTGTTTCCCTTGCTTTTGTTTTGCCATTTGTAACTCTAAATATAATCCTATTGTGGTAAGGGGCTTTTATATTGAACCTATATGTGGATATGTGCCAAGTCTTTTCTATCCCATTTTATCAATGATATAGTTCTATGGCTCATCTCCGTGTCTCTCTTTTTCCTAGTGCTGTTTCCATATTATGAACTCATTTGGTGCAGATCATTTCTGAAGAAGCAGCTTGTAGAACACATGAATCACGTGTAGCTGTGAAAATTGCAGTTGAGCCCTTGGCATGTGAAGATAATGCTGCTGAAGTTCAGCAGGTACAATTATTGGCTAGGATATCTAGCAAAGAATTATGTACAGTAACAGAGTATTATAGTGAATCTTTTCCTGTCTATGACCTGTACTTATGAGGTTTTCTGTTTCTATTTTCTTGTTCTATTTAATAGGTCGATCGGATTATGGGTTGTCGTGTGAAAAGTGGTAATGTAAATTCTGCTTGCAATGTTCTCATGACGGATGTGGATGAACTCTCTTTGGAGGATTCTGTAGTTGCAGAAGATTTAAATAAAGTATATGGGAAAAGCCCCGGCTCTGAAATGCCTGGGATAGGCATAGGAAAGATTGACATGGGTTGTCAGAATATTGCTAGCTGTTCCAATGGGAGCAAGAACGTAACAGATCGCGTGAATGAAGGTAAGCTACAAGTATACCTAAGATCTTCAACCAAAGAATGTAAAGAACGAAATTTCAAGGATTCTATGAGAGACATTGAAGATTCTAATGTTCTGAATAATAAAAATATAGATGACAATATTTCAAGCCCAGAAAGTACAGCAAAGACTGCCAAGATAATCTCAGAAGGCAAGAAGATTGATTTTGTCTTGGAAAGTTGTAACCATGATGTCTTAAACAACTGTCAAACTCACGTTACTGATGAGAATGAAAACTCGAAGGATGGGGAAATTAAGATGACAATAATATGTGCTCCTAAAAAGTCCTGCTTGGATGAATCTGGATTCTCTGAAGGATTGACCGTCTCATTTGAGTTTTTGGTCAAGTGGGGTGGGAAATCTCACATCCACAACAGTTGGATTCCCGAATCTGAACTGAAAGTTCTGGCGAAACGGAAACTGGAGAATTACAGGGCAAAGTATGGGACATTAACTATAAATCTTTGCCAGGAACAGTGGAAGCTACCTCAGCGAGTGATTGCTACTCGGTCTTCTATATGTGGTTCAACTGAAGTATATGTAAAGTGGACAAGTCTTCCTTATGATGAATGCACTTGGGAAAGAACCAGTGAACCTGTAATTGCGAAATCGCTTCACTTGGTTGATTTATTCTTTAAATTTGAACGCCAAACGCTGGAGAATAATTCTGGAAAACACGATTCAACATGGAGAAAAGGTGACTTCCAACAAAATGAAGTAATTACTCTCACTGAGCAGCCTAAAGAGCTAGCGGGAGGTTCTTTGTTTCCACATCAGCTGGAAGCATTAAATTGGTTGCGTAAAAGCTGGCATAAATCAAGAAATGTGATACTTGCTGATGAAATGGGGCTTGGAAAAACAGTATCAGCTTGTGCTTTTTTATCATCATTATATTTTGAATTTAAAGCTACTCTGCCTTGTCTGGTTTTGGTTCCTCTATCCACAATGCCCAACTGGATGGGTGAGTTTTCGCTATGGGCTCCTAACCTCAATGTGGTGGAATATCATGGGAACACGAGGGCTCGAACCATAATTCGTCAATATGAATGGCATGCATATGATCCTAGTGGGTTGAATAAGAAAACATCAGGTTATAAGTTCAATGTTCTTTTAACTACTTATGAAATGGTTCTTGCCGATTCCTCTCATCTACGTGCAGTTCCTTGGGAAGTTCTTGTGGTTGATGAGGGGCACCGTCTGAAAAACTCTAGCAGTAAGCTTTTTGGTTTGCTAAATACTTTCTCATTCCAACATAGGGTACTGTTGACAGGTACTCCTCTTCAGAACAATATAGGGGAGATGTATAATCTACTAAACTTTCTGCAGCCAGCTTCATTTCCTTCTCTCTCTTCATTTGAGGAGAAATTTAATGATCTAACAACTGCCGAAAAGGTAGAAGAACTGAAGAAACTTGTTGCCCCGCATATGCTTCGTAGGCTTAAAAAGGATGCCATGAAGAATATCCCCCCAAAGACTGAACGAGTAGTTCCTGTTGAGTTGTCAAGTATTCAGGCAGAATATTATCGTGCCATGCTAACAAAGAATTATCAGGTGTTACGAAACATAGGGAAAGGGGTTCCACAGCAGTCGATGTTAAATATTGTGATGCAGTTACGAAAGATTTGCAATCATCCTTATCTTATACCTGGCACTGAGCCTGAATCTGGATTGGTGAATTTCCTTCATGAAATGCGAATAAAAGCTTCAGCCAAGCTAACTTTGCTGCATTCTATGCTCAAGGTGTTACACAAAGAAGGTCATAGAGTCCTTATCTTTTCACAAATGACCAAGTTACTTGACATCCTTGAGGATTATGTGTCTATCGAATTCGGGGCAAAGACATACGAGAGAGTTGATGGCTCTGTATCTGTGGCTGATCGACAAGCAGCAATAATTCGTTTTAACCAAGATAAGAGTCGATTCATATTCCTTCTATCAACACGCTCTTGTGGCCTTGGCATCAACTTGGCGACTGCTGACACTGTCATTATCTATGATTCTGACTTTAACCCACATGCAGACATCCAAGCCATGAATCGGGCACATCGAATCGGACAATCAAACAGGCTTCTGGTGTATAGGCTTGTTGTCCGTGCTAGTGTTGAAGAGCGCATCTTACAACTTGCAAAGAAGAAATTGATGCTTGATCAACTTTTTGTGAACAAGTCTGGGTCGCAAAAGGAGGTGGAGGACATCCTAAAATGGGGAACTGAAGAACTTTTTTGTGATTCTTCTTCCATAACAGAAAAAGATGGTGAAAACCACAACAATAAAGATGAAGCAGTTACAGAGCCGAATACCAGGAGGAGAACTGGTGGCCTTGGGGATGTATACGAAGATAAATGTGCAGATGGTAGCAATAGGATTGTGTGGGATGAAACTTCTATTTCAAAATTGCTAGACCGCTCGCACGTCCCATCTGATTCACCTGATAATGCTGAATCAGAAATAGAGAACGATATGCTTGGTTCAGTGAAGGTATTGCTTCAGCCATTTTATCACCCCAGTTACAGTATGCTTTGCTATCGTGTCCAGAATCTTTGTTTCTGCTAATATTTCGTATGTCCTTATTTTGGATTTCTCATGGAGCTTCATTGGTCGCTCATTCTTCCAATTTTAGCAGAACCCAGATTTGATGCTTTTCTGGAGAAATTTCTATGTTTTTAGTTGAGTTTGGAATAACAATATACACCTTCTAGTTTATAGTCTGATTAATTGAACAAAATTATCTGTAAAGCTGAATGAATAAGATGATTCATGGACACTCATTTACTGAACTCATTAGTTCCAAGTTTTAAGGACTGATTTTCCTTGTTCACTATGATAAATAAGAATAAACAATCACCACTTTGCATTTGCATGTCTTCTCTGGATTGTGTGTATCATTCATATTCATATGACATATTGACATCATGAAGCTAATAAGAAGCATGTGAAATTAGTCCCTAGAATGGAATGATGAACCAACAGAAGAACAAGATGGAACAACATCTGTTCCCATGGGCACTAGTGCTCTGTGTGCACAGAATTCTGATAAAAAGGATGATGATTTGACTGGCAGCAATGAAGAAAATGAATGGGACAGGCTTCTGCGAGTTAGGTACGTATTTCATTCTTAAGTTGTATAGCACCATTTCCATTACTCCTTGTTTTCATATCCCTGCTTCGCCTTTTTTTATGCCACAGCTCTGATACTTAAGAGTTCGATTTTCTTGAATCTAGGATAAATAGTCCTAGTAGAAGTACACAGTTTGCTGAACCTATTTTTATGGTTTTTTCGTTATTAGCAATGATTGTAGACTCAAAATGTGCGGAAGGATTCCTGCTTCATGTAGAACAGGAACAAGGAGAATTTGTAATCCCAACAATTCATCAAGCACCTATTTATCTACATAGTAATGAGTGCAGCATTCTTCGATCTGTAATATTGAAAATTAAGTGGATCAACATAAATACATAAATGCATGTACGTGTGTGTGGGAAATTTACATAAATTAGTTTTCCCTTTGCTATACAAAAACTCTTATCATTCACAAGTTACTTCATAAGCATCTCTTTCTTAAATCATTTGCTCGTTCAATTTGTAGATGGAAGAAATACCAGAGTGAGGAAGAAGCAGTCCTTGGCCGGGGAAAACGTCAAAGAAAAGCTGTTTCTTACAAGGAAGCATACGTGACACACCCCAGTGGAACACTGAGTGAAGTACTGCCTCTCCCTCTCTCTCTCTCTCTCTCTCTCTGTGCATGTGTGTGTTGGGGGTGGGATGGAGATTCTGTTTATCTTTTATTTCCTAATATCTGCATCGGAGGCTTGTAGACAATTCTGTATGCTGACAATTTTATTTTCGTAGACGTACAGATGCCTGATCTCCAATGATATTAACATATATTGATAGTCCCAGGCCCCCCAGTGAACATGGACATCGTACAGATGCTTCTACCATATTATGTTTGTGATTTGAATTGCCACATTTTGGGTATCCTATCCAATATTGCCAACCAGCTTTTGTGTTCTATGAAAAATTGACTAGGTAGTAAATTGCATATCCTTTTCCGTTTTGTGAATTTTGCTATCAACGAAGGGTATCATTGTTTCAACTGTCATTCTGATCAGTCCAAGCATTATAAATAGCAATCTTCCTGTCGGCAGTTGTTTTTCTCTTTCTACTTTGCTTTAACTTCCTGTATTAGTGTTAACCCCACTGGCCATCTTCAGTTTCCATTATAAATGATTTGGCGAGTGCTGATAACCTCTGTTTTCACTGGCGCAGTTATCAAAAATGGCTGTTATCAAACCAAAAAGTCTCTTTTCTGGCCTTTTTATTGCCAACACCAACTGCTATTATACAAAGCCTTCGTTTCACCTTTCATATACTTTTTTCTGTTAGAATGTCAGTGATTCCATCCTGATTAAATTTTGTTACAAGTGTGTCTGATTTTCATGGATTGAATTGAATTTTGATTAGAGGCTATATCTGTCTGAGTCTCCGTGATTGTTTTTATTGTGCGGTATACCAGAGTGTTGCGGAAGAGGAACTGGAGTCCAAACCCGTGCCTGAGCGACAGTACACTCCGGCAGGACATGCGCTTAAAGCAAAATAGTGAGTTTTTATTCATGATAATTATACACTTTTTTCTTGTAAAGATTCCTGTTGTACCCAGGATCTGATGTTTTGATCTTCTGTTCACCGATTGGGCCTTGATCCTTTTGGAACTATATCTCCCAAATAATATGTTCAGAAATCTAAGATATTAATATTTCAGTGCAATATTATATGAATGGTTATATGAGAGTACAAGCCTGTAATCAGAGATCTTCATGGGGGACCCTTATTTGGTTAAAATCACTGTGATAAGCGTCAAAGATATTTGAATCAGTACAATTGTGGCTCATGATAGTGGAAGTTACGGATCTTATTTAATTAAGGCATAATGTTGCATCTAATCAGTCCTGGACGACAGGAGAATGTAAAAAATTTAAATCTCATCAATTGAAACATACTTAATTGCTCATGATCGTTGACTCAACCTACTGTGTTAATGTGTTTTCTTTCAACAGTGCAAAACTTCGTGCTAGACAAAAAGAACGGTTGACAAAGAGGAAAGCAATTGAATCATCTACTCCCATCAAGGAATATTACAGACTAGAGTCATTTCCTCAATTCCCTCCTCTGCGTGCTAAAGATGATAATCAAATGACCATATCAACTCAGCCTGTCGAAGAGAAGGCTACAACCTTGGACTTTGAAAATAAGAGTCATAGTCAAACCACAGGACCCAATAGCAAGACCGACTCGACCATGATGCTGGGTAAGATTACGGAGCTTAAATCCACTGTTGATTTCGAGTTTCCAGTTATGTATAATCGCTTTCCAGACGTTTCCCTGTCAAATGACCATTTTAAGGGGACAAGTTCCACAAACACAATGTACAACTTGTTGCCAGTTTTAGGATTGTGTGCTCCTAATGCTCCAGATTCTAACCAGTTGGAGCCATTGCAACGAAAATTCTCAAGACCAAATAAAAGACAATACAAGCAAGGACTTGGGCCGGAGTTGCCTTTACCTGCTACTTGTTCTAGTGTGTTAAACGAGATGACTGTTAAAGGTAAAGAGGCAGTCCCAGGCAAATTCAATTTTCCAAATCTTTCTTCTGGTGCTTCAATTTCACAACCTAAGAGTGACATCCCTAGTAATTATTTACCCTCGAATCCAGTATGCTCTCTCTCTCTCTCTCTCTCTCTCTCTCACACACACACACACACAATGGTTTGATTTGATTAATTCTCATTTATTTGCAGCATCTCCTGGATGTTCTGAGAGGAAAAAGCTTGGTGGAGCATCTTGGAAACTTGGGGACTACTTTCTCTGGTTTTCGAGAAAAGCCTCTCTTGCCCAAATTACCTTTTGATGAGAAGCTGCCGAGATATTCATTTCCTAGTGCAAACTTTCCCTATCCAACCCCTGACTCCTTCTCAAGCTTATCACTGGGATCTAGTATAGCACACCGAAGTAATTCTGTCCCTGAACTCCCTAAGATTCCGTTATTGCCAAATCTCAAATTTCCTCCAGATCTTCCCAACCATAACCAACAAGAACAGCAAATGCCTCCAGGATTGTGCTCGGATCCGATGCCACCATTTTTTGCATTTCCCGAAAACCATCGTAAAGCTCTTGAGAATATGCTGAAAACTGGACCTGGCTCCAGCAATTTGCTGAAAATGAAACCAAAGGTAGATATCTGGTCTGAGGATGAACTTGATTATCTGTGGATTGGTGTTCGTAGACATGGAATGGGGAAGTGGGATTCAATGCTACGAGATCCAAGGCTAAAGTTTTCGAAGTTCAAAACTGCTGAAGATTTGTCAGCAAGATGGGAAGTAGAACAAGTTAAGATCTTGGATGGGTCAGCATTACCGGGACCAAAGTCTATCAGGCCTCCAAAGTCCGCGAATTCGTTCTTATTTTCTGGGATATCTGATGGACTGATGGCACGGGCATTGCACGGAACTATATCTGATTTGCCTGGAACTAGCTCTGATGGAATGATGGCAGGGGGATTGCATGGAACTAAATGTGATGGGTCACTGAAATTCCACACCAGCATTACAGAGATGAAATTGGGTCTTGGTGATCTGCCTGTTAGTTTGACACATCTGGAACCATCTGATCCTCTTCCAACTTGGATTGCTGCTAAGTTCCCAGCAAAGTTGTCCAGAGACTCCTCTGCAGGACCTTCCGATGGATTAGTTCTTTGCTCAAGCATACCAGAGTCGCCATATCTGTTGAATTCATCAGGAACTAATAGTTTTCATTCTCTTGGTTTAAATTGTTCAGACAGATTTAAGGCACAGCAGATGGAGAGACAAACGGATGCAACTAGATTAGGTTTATTGCCTGATCCTGGTAACATGGGATGCAGTGAGCATAAAAGTTCTTCTCTGGTTGCCAATTGTAACAGTGACCAGAAGGTTCCACAATCTAAAGGAAAAGAAGTGGTTGCTACATGTACTCCAAAAGAAAAGCTGCCTCATTGGCTTAGAGAAGCAGTAGATGCTCCTGGTAAAACTCCAGAACCTGATCTGCCACCGACTCTCTCTTCAATATCACAATCTGTTCGTGTCTTATATGGGGAAGAGTCCTCCAAAATTCCCCCATTTATTGAGCCAGGACTGCCTCCCCCACGGCCACAGGATCCTCGAGGCAATTTGAAGAAGAGGAGGAGGAGGAGGAGGAGATCACATGCAGCCAATCAAGACTCTCAAGTCGGTAACTGCCAAGGTAGCCACCCTGGAGAACATGTTGGTTCATCATATATTCCCCTAGAGGCAGGCTTCCCTCTGCATCCAAATTCGAGTGACGGTGTTTCAGGAGTCCCAAGGATTGAGCCCAACCTCAACATATCTTCTCTCAATCCAAAAATGACAAGTCTTTCATCTTCGTCTGGGATGACTCCAATCAAGGAAGTGACTGCAGGATTATCCTCTTCACCTGTAGTCCTTGAATTGATCTCTTCCAGTGATGCACCAGGTCCACCTACTGCAACACACCCAGACTTCAATGGCAGCTTGCTCCATTTGCAAAATTCTGTTGATCAAGGAAGCTCAGAACCCCAAGATGCGTGTGTGGAACACAAGTCAAACCAGAAGTTGCCTGCCGTAGAAGAGCAGACTGGAAGTGGCGATTCCAGCAAAACGCTGTCTGATCCTGTTCACTCTGAACAGCCAGATGGAGAGGTGTCTTCAGAAGGGACAATAGCAGTTCAACCTGTAAGCAACCATGAACCATTGACAGATGTGGGGAGTTGATCGGGAAACAGGTTTTCTCAAAACTACCAATTTACCTTATAATTTACTTTTTTTTTTCAGTTTTGTAGTGCTTGTGATTGTCGAAACTATTGGAGAATCTGAGCCTACTTTTTATGTAACGTATTGTTAGATAATATGAAATGTAGTGTAGAGATTTAATACTCCATGTTANCTATCCAGGGCCAATCCTCATTGTGCCAATTTCCCAACATGTAGAGTGTTGCTCAATATTATTGTAGCCCAAAATAAAAAATGTTAAAACTCTTGTCCGACACCATCTCCAATCCCTCCACGCGAATCGCGATGGGAGAAAAAGTCAGAATCCATCTTGTGCAATAGTTGTGCAGAGTAAGTCTGCCAATTAGAGTAGAATAGTTGAACTCAAATCTGCACGGGAGAAGCTGTGTAGTTCATAGTTGCTATGTCCATTTGGATACCAAAGAAAGTCTCTTTACCCAACTTTGGCTGGTATACGAGTGATTCAAAAACCATATCTTGTTAGAATTTGTGCAAGATATTGTGCTACATCTGAATCAGTGCTTAGTTAAATTTTCATGTTATGATTAAAGAGGTCAAAATGAGCCGGCTGACCTGGACCATCCACGTGCATGTTGGCCTAGCTCAGGCTCATACTGAGCCTTAACTAGCCCATCAAAAGATATGGTCCGGGCATAACCCAAACCGACTTCAAAATCTTGGGCCGGATTGGCTTGCATACCCGTCAATATTATGGGCTACCGGGTCGGGATGGACCAACCTTTCATTTTTAATCTATAATTAAAAAATGGTTGATGGATTTAGAAATTACTATCATTAAAATTTTTTGAAATGTATAAAAGCACTTTACAAGTGGAATTCACTAGTAATAGTACAATTTTTAGCAAGTTCAGCTATTGAGCTGGCCCTCATGATTGCTTGGCTGAATAGTTCAACCCATCATGGGTTGCTATAATTGGCAGACCACCCCGCCGTGACATATACATTTAGATATATTAACGTGATAGTTTTTTATTGTCTCATGCAACAAATAACATGTTGCTATAATTGGCAGACCAACCCTACGTGACATATACATTTTGATATATTAACGTGATAGTTTTTTATTGTCTCATGCATCAAATAAAAAACTGACAAATGTACGTCACGTAGGACGACAATCTGTGGTCTTCACCGTGAATAACATTATTTTTATAGAAAAGGGCCTGGATTTTCTATTTCATTCAAGCTACATGTGTATTAAGTTTGACATTCTTATGAGATGACATTTTTTCATACATCGATCTTCTCAACACTTTAAATTATAAATAACAAAGATTTTGACAATACTTGAAGTGTCAAACTTAATGTACACCAAGTTTGTACAATTAATTTAAGGGAAAATTGCGGCCGTGGTCTCAAACCTTTCATTTTGTTGCATATTACACCCAAACTTTTTTTTTTGCGGCCGAAATCCCAAACCTTTATATGTAGTTGCAGCGTCGGTCCCAAGCATTTAATTCAGTCCATAAAATCGTCAATCAACGTTTCAACAGTAATTTTGACTCGAAAAAATTGTAGCGCTGATCCCAAACCTTTCATTTTGTTGCAGATTACACCTAAACCTTTATATATAATTACATCGTTGGTCAATTTCACGCATTTTGTTCATAAAATTATCAGTCAACGTTGAAACAATAATTTTAACTCAAATGACATCTTATTTGATGGGTAAATTTGTCAAAACAAGNTATGTATTATTAAATAATTTTTAAATTGATTAAAAATTAAAAATAATATTAAAATAGGAAAATATTTTTTTAATAATATTTATGCCTAGGCTTTGTCTAAACATGCCGGTTTGGGATTAGCGTTGCAATTTTTTCATTTTTATGACATGTTATTTGTCACTAAAATAAATACATGAGAAAATAAAAAAGTTTAGTACTAAATAAAAATTTTTAATAGTATTTTTAATTTTAATATTATTTTTAATTTTTAATCAATCTAAAAATTATTTAATAATACGTACAAATTATAGTACCAAATGTAGTTTATTTATTTTTATTTTCTCATTTATTTATTTTAGTGACAAATAATATGTCATAAAAATAATTTATCGATTCGATTATTATAACAAATCGGATCGAATTGTTATCTGATCAGATAGTTATTGATGATGAAAATATGATGTCTGTGAAAAGATTGAAATATTTGAAAAAAACAAACATTTTGAGTTAAAATTACTGTTTGAACGTTGACTGACGATTTTATGGACGAAATGCGTGAAATGGACTAACGCTGTAATTATATATAAAGGTTTGGGACTTTGGTCGCAAAAATTAAAGGTTTGAGTGTAATATACAACAAAATGAAAGGTTTGGGACCAGCGTTGCAATTTTTTCGAGTCAAAATTATTGGTGAAACGTTGACTGACGGTTTTATGGACGGAATTAAAGGCTTGAGACCGACACTGCAACTACATATAAAGGTTTGGGACTTTAGCCGCAAAAATAAAAGGTTTGGGTGTAATCTGCAACAAAAGGAAATGTTTGGGACCATGGCCGCAATTTTCCCTTAATTTAATCCTTTCTGTTTTATCATTCTAGTAAACTGCATTTGCGCCTAAACAATCAAATGTTTGTTTATATTAATTTAGGTGGTGAAAAAGGAAAGAGAGTTTGGTAGCATTAATGAAGGAATTTTGTCTCCATTTTAGGATATTAACTGTCTAAAAAATTTACCCCACCCCTCCCCTGGCCTGGGAATAATAATAATATCCCTTTTCTTATCTCTCTGTCTCCTCTTGGTGTCTGTTTTGTTTGCTTTGCTTTTCAAATATGCAAATAATTCATATTTCCATACATTGTACTGAGTCAGATCCTAAGACCTATGCTTTGCTAATTGCTATGTATTGATACCGAACCCAAATCCTAAATTAATCACATGTATGTACCCCTATCTTAAACCAAGAAATACATAGTGTCTTCCTAACTCGACTAAACTGCGTGGCATTGCGGGATTGGATTTGAGACGAGACATTTCATTATCTCTAGAATTGATGTTAAAAATCCCAGTTGACCATTTTTATCACGACACAACTTAATTGTACACGTTGCGTCCAACTTGTTTGACACTGCGTGCATTGCCCCTCGACTTTAATCCATGACGTTAATGATAATTTGACATCCTGAATAAAATTGTTTAATATATAGTATAGCATAACTGATCTCCTAATACTAAGCTCTCGAATGACATGACACACTACAATAAGTGGTGGGAGATAATAGTTAATTACAAAACTGATTACACCATCGATTGTAGTATGTCACGTTATCTGGTACTTAGGAGATTAATTTCGTATAGGATAGACTTCCTTTAATTTATTTACCCACTTATATATATAAGTTTTCGAAATATTACTCACACGACTTAAATTACTCAATAGTCAATATTGTCCTGGAAATAAACCAAGAAATACAATCTGTTCATGAAAAGGAAACTTGAAATAACTCTATCTCTAGTGCGAAGCAGTCACTAATCTTTGGCAATCTGTTCTCGGCGTAGCAGCAAATCTCGACGAGAAGGAATAGAATTTATAGTAATCTTCATCTAACAAGTTACCTGAGCCACTTGTATCGAAGTTTAGCGAATAACTCAGTGGATCATATCGGCATTGGAACGACGATTGTCTACTTGTAGAATGCAACATTTTGCTTCGTTTTTTGAGTACTCTTCTCATTAAGTTGGACAGGCCACAACAGTTACTGGTTGATGCATTTTCCGACGACACATGAGTATCAGAACCACCACTTGCGGTGGCGGAAGAGGTTTTCAGCCACCAAGGGAGTGCTAAATGTGTCATCTTTTGGGTTTAGAAGATATATGGATGGTTTTGAGGAACTTGGCTAAGATCTTTAGCTAGGGAGTGGAAGTGGGAGAGGTGAATGGAGTCTGGTGGAATTAATATATATATATAGGGCAATGGGGTTGGTTTATTAATTTGTTATTCAAATGCCAAATATAAAAGAAATATAATATAGAGCGGTGAAGCTAGGATTGTAGAATTGTTGAGGCAAATTTCACAAAATTTTAATTGTGTCAGAAAAATTGAAAATTATAAGGAATTTTTTTTTAAAATTTTGTGCAAAATCTTGGATTCAAATTTAATGTGGGGACAACTAACACGGTGAATCCACCCCTATTATGGAGTAATCTTTGTTGGACAATGAATTGGTAAAGAGATTCATTGAATAATGAATCAGTGTGGTCTATTATCTTGTGCTAAGCAAGTCGATTCGTTAAACAATGAATCAGTGGTGTTTACTATGATTTAGATTAGTGTTGACCACCAGTGATATTACATAGTATGTTTTTAATATTATATGTCATGTAAATTAGCTATGACATAGAAAATATAAAATAAAAGCTAAAGTTTGATGCGTCGAATGTTAAAACCTAAGGCCCTGTTCTCTTTGCCGTTTTCGAACCGTTTTCTGTTTTCGATTTTTCAAAATAGTGAAAACGCGTTCTCTTTCCTATTTTCGAAAACATGTTTTTGAAAACAAAATTTTTTTT